ATGCCAGTGGAACGCAATGATATGCCAATGTTGCTCCCCATTTCTAAAACATTTCCATTTTTTCATTCCAAACCGTTAATATAACCCGATCCATAACATCTCTATGGCTTCACGAGAGAAGGATTGACTAACTATCCTTGACCACAAGGTAATTCCAGGGCGTCATTTGGGGCCTAATTAACTCAACCACGCTAGGGTCTTTCCCTAGTTCCCTCTAGGTCACATTAACCCTACGGACCACTAAGCAGCTCCTAGGCGCCCGGATTTTTGCAAACAATTCAAATCTTTTTCCCAAAATAATTTTTCATTTCTTTTCAAAACAATTTCCCTTTTTTTTCTCAATGCCATACATGAATACTTCATACTTTCCAATGCCACGACCATACTAAACTCCATACAATGTATATTTACATCATTCTAATATAGTAATTCATATGTCAAACTATGAACATACTTGCATACTTTGAGGAAATTAAATCAATAAATTCCCAAATAACTATTTCATCAATTATGCCATTTGACATCCAAGCATTTGAGTGTATACCATTATAATAAATCATCTAAGCATACAATTTATTACATTCAACACATAATACACCTTGACATGCTTCACTTACATACAATCTCAAATAACCATAAACAAGGCTTACAAATTAAGCATGTTTTTGACGAAATTAAGGAGAAATAATTCACCAAAATCAAAGAACATGTGTATTAGAAACCCATACCTCAATAAATGAATAAAAGCCCCAAAAATTGAAAACCAAAGGTGGCCTAATTGCAACTTTGCTCATATCAAATCGAAGCTCTCGTTGTGCTCGTTGACATTGCCTTCAGTGGTAAAGCCAAATTCTCAATGGAAAATGAGAGATCTAATCTTTTGTGTAACAAAAGAAAAAATAAAAATAAAAAATAGAAAATGAAAGAAGCTGCGGGAGAGATAAAATGATTTTGGCCCCAAAACGAATGAATGATGATATATATATATATATATATATATATATATATATATATATATATATATTAAGCTCATAACACGTGAGGCCCATCCAATTAAAAATATCTTTTTTATTTTCATATACATATGTACATACACTAAACACACCACAACGCGTGTTTAAACACAAAGTCACATAACCATGCATCAAATAATAATGTATGAAATGCGACGACCCTGAAAAATAATCCCCCTGCACAACAATACAGGTTGCGGGTCCCGCCCGGGACCTCCTGTCCCGAAAAACTGAAAAATACCGAAATGGCCAACGATGCATTTCTAAGAGTCCCAAACTCAAAGAAATGCTCTAACCAACCCTCGGAACTCACTCGGCACACCCTATGATGTCTGACACGCAAAACGAGACAAAATAAAAATAATCCAGAAAAATTAAAAAAATCCCCGAAAATGGAAAATTGAGAAACATTACAATCTACCCTCTTTAAAGAGGAGTTCCACAATCACCGACCTTCCCAAGAAACACCTCATAAAACCGTAAGATTATGAGCTCACCAACCTTATTATTTTTGACATCGAATATCAACAGTCAATCACACACCACTACCACTAAAATACAATGCTCACCACCCTATGAGGGTACTCATCGCTCACAACATTATAACACAAAACCATTGGATTCTATGCCCGACTTAAAACGGATGTCGGTCCACTCTACACAGTTACGCAAGGGTCCAAAGCCCGAAAGAAAAACGGTCATCAGACCACCGAATATGACAACATCCAATCTCAACTCATTCTTTAAAGGACATACAAAGCCCCAACAAAAAACCCCGTCTGTCATACACTAAGTCCCATTCTAAGTAAACACATTCCCAACAACCATACTCATACTGCTCAATACGCAGCTACACCATCACATATCTGTACAAACGACTACCAACTGCACTATTTGGCAATCATAATAAATAACCGTAATGCCCTAGGTGACATCAGGTTCGAGAAGGGACCCAGTTAATGATCCGGACCCCCTGGTTCTGGCCGTTACACCCTTCTTGGTCTTCTCTCAAATCTCACCCTAAAACTTCCAAAAATAAGCTTGAAACATGAGTATATGTATATATATATGATGATATAGAGAGAGAAAGAGTTAGCCGAAAATGGAAGGGAAGAAGGGGGGTTGCCAAGTCTTCAAATGGCAAGTGTGGTACTTGTTTGGCCACATGTCACTTTGGTGGTCCCCACTTTTGTGCTAAAAGCCCAACATGCCCATCTAAGATTCCATTAAAGACAACTTGTCTTCCACTGTATCTATATATATATATATATATATATATATATATATATATATATAGCATGCTACACATAATAATAAACAATCGGGAAAGATTCCCGAGCATCAATTTTAACCAATTTTTTCATTCCCTCACAAAATAAGCGTTTACCTTTCCATTTTGTACTCTTCCCAAAATAAGTGTCACATTTGAAAACTCAATGTCCCATTTTTTTAAATATTACCAATTTAACCTTATTGTATTAAACCTATAAAAAGTAAACCATCACATCACTGTAAACTCATTAGGGGTAAATTTGATAATTCATTCACAATTAATATAATAAAAATAATAATAAAAATCACTCTCTTAAAAAGTTACATTCTAAAAAAGGGTTGGAGGGGGGGGGTGGTAAATTGCACGAACCTCCTTTATGGTTTGCCAGAATTATAGGGACCTCCCCTTAAAATGAAACTAACCTATATAAATCTCCATTCCGTGACAGTCAGCGAGAATTAATGACAGATTTTGCTGATGTCATGCATTAAATAAATTAAAATTTTTATATTACCCTTGGTTGTAGTGAAAGATATCATAAAAAAAAAATACTAAATTACCAAAATACCCTCATTCCTTCCAAAAACAACATTGTGGGTTCAACATTCCTAGAGCAACATTCTCAAGGACAAACTAATTAAAAAAAAAAAAAAAAAAAAAAAGATGAATAAAGAATGTTGTATTATGTTATGTAATTATTTGAGGCTATATATATATATATATAACTACAAGTTCAATGTTTGCCTCTAGTTCTGACTATGACCTTGGGGAGTTCCGACAACTACTAGTAGTTTTGAAGATGGCGACTAGACGATTAATTATGAGAATTTTGTGATGATGATGGCGAGAAGCAATTCCAGCAAGATCAACGGCGGTAGAAAATTCTAGTAAGGCAACTGTTGTTCACTGGGTTCAATTGATGGGTGTTGGCTTGGGGGTTCGGTGATAGATCGTTGACAATAGAGATCGACTGAGACGGGTTTCTTAATTAAGGATAGAAAGAGTTCTGCAATATTTTATAAACTAATTAAGACTCTATTCTGGATGGATTGACTTTAATCGGTAACGTAAGAGCATTTTCACAATGACAAACTACACAGGCAAATAGCGACCCCCACGACAATCCACACATCGACGATTAATAAGATGCCGACAACCTTCAATTTAAACCACACAATGACGACTAATTTCAAGTCAAAAATATTAATTTTAGAAAATTAAAGTTCACAGAGACAATGGTATATTCCCCACCCCCCCCCCCCCCCCAACACACACACACACATATTGTAATTGCAGATGAAAGAGAAAGAAGAGCACTACGCAGATCAACCGAACTGAACGAATCAAAACTGGAATTAAAAACTCACCGGATTGAACTAAACTTCGCTAGTGAATCTATTCACTGTTCACACACACAAACACACATATATATATGTACACACAAAGATAGAGTAAAATATATAATATTCCATTGATAAAGCTGGTGGTTGGTCGTTGATGGGGTTTTTTTTTTTTTTTTTTTTTGTGTGTGTGGTGGTTGGATATATACTGTTCTATACATATGTGCGTATGTATATATATACACACATATAATTGGGGTAATTTAGTCATTTACCATAGAAACTTGAGGGCATTTAAGTAAATTAGATAAATCCGTTAGTGCATTTAACCGTCACTAGGAGGTTTGTGTATGTTAGTTTCATTTTTAGGGAAGTTTAGTATAATTTCTGAAATTATAAGAGAAATTCTTGTAATTATGGCAAACTATTAGGAATGTCCTTGTAAATTATCCAAAACAATGAACACTTGGTTATGTTTGGTGTGAGTAAATGGAATCAAATGAAGGTGGAATGGAATGCATTTGTTTCTATTCTCTTATTTGGTGTGTCACATTAAAAGTGGAATGGCCATTCCTAAGGATGGCCATTCCATCAAAAAGGTGGAATGCCCATTCCACTTCTTGAGAGGTGGAATGACCATTCCATTCCCACTAAAAATTAATAAAGTAATAAAATAATTTAAAGAGATAATTCACGCATACACACACTATATAAAATATAATATATATATATGTATCTATATATATAATATGTATCTATATGCTGTTTGTTCCCCCTCTCTATCTCGTTTATTTTTCTCTCTCTATTATCTCTTTCCCTTTTATTTTTGCAAATTAATTTTTTTAGTTAATTTTTTTTACTAATAATAAAATGTAATTTAAAAAAATAATATAAATTCATTCTATTCTAACTTTCTTACCAAACATAGGAATGAGAAAAGATTCCATTTTTACACATTCCATGTTTACAACCAAACGGTAGAATGAGAATTATTATTCACATTCCATTCCATTCCATTCCCACCTCCATTCTCATTCCATTCCAATTCATTTCACCACACCAAACATGCCTTTATTTTAGAACGGAGGGGATATATCATTTTTTATAGACATTAGACTTGGACCAATAAAGTCAGTATTCTTGCATTTTGAAGTTGGGGATAGGTTAATGAACAAAATGCTTGGTAATCAGTTTATGGACCCAATAAACTGATTGGGTTCCAGGAACGTAACCGCCATTGATTAGATTAATAATTAGGCCCATCAAACAATGGGCCTTTATTCACCCATCCGATGTTCAAACAGTACGGGTGTTTACTCAATCTAGACTGTACAGGTTTTCAAGCAAGCCATCTCAACCGTCCATTTCTTCCTTTTAACTTATTTCATCCCTTCAAACCCTAGGGTTTCCTCTGAGTAATATTTGACTTAGGGTTTTGCATTCGCTCACAGATCTGCTCAGTCGTCGCATCAACCCTCTGGTAAGCCTATACTTAGTTTAACCTCAACCTGTTCCAGGGATTTATTGATTTATTTATTTGTCGCTTGAAAATGCTATCTTTGTATATCGTACGATCCTGTTTGGTTACTGAGAAAATGTAGCTAGAACGGATAAGAAAATCCATTTTTAGTTAACCACCTATTATTCTACTGTATCTATTTCAACTGGCAGACGTATAATCTTTTCATTTTCATTTGTTTTCTCTGCAACCAAATAGATGGTTGGGTTTGTGATTACGGATGAAATATATTTAGTTAACTTGTGATTCGATTGTTTCCATTACAATGATGCCTTCTTGTTACAAGAAACTGATTCTTATTTTGTTTATTTGCTGGCCGAAACTGAGATTGATTCAAATTACTATAGATTTTCAAGTTGATTGTCAATCTTTACCGTTTGGTTGCCGAGGAAATTGAAGGTAGAATAACATAAAGTTTGGACTTTCACCTATCTGTCAAATTGATTTAAAATTGTTGGTGCAACCTACAACTTTGTTTGTCACTCATGACAACAGGAGTGGGGGAAGCAGTATCACCCATAATTTTTGTACTTTGATTTAGTTTTACTAGCATTGGGTAGCAAATTATGCCAGTCATTGAGTGAGTTCATTTTTCGGAACCATGATTTTCATTCATTTGAAAATAATATCGTGTAATTAACATGTTCCATCCACATCCTTTCAAAGTTAATTTGACTAAGAAAAGCTCTCTTCTTTGGGGGTTATTGAATACCTTGATTATTTAGTTACCTCATCTGTACCCCCAATGTATTTTAAAATTCTAATTTCCTGCCTGAATCTGATCTGTTGAGCTAGATCTGTGAAGATGTATACGTCAAGGAGGAAAATCCAAAAAGATAAGGATGCTGAACCGACTGAATTTGAGGAGTCAGTTGCACAGGTTGAACAGATTGATTTAAGGACATTCATGGTATAAGTTACTTGTAAATGTGGAATTGTCTTTGTTCTGATTTTTTCATTTTACTTTTTATGCAGGCATTATTTGATTTGGAAAATACCAACCAGGAGCTCAAAAGTGAATTGAAGGACCTATACATCAATTCTGCAGTGTAAGAATGGTGGATTTGATGCATGCTTGCCTGCTTGGATAAATTCCCTTTTCTTCTTGTTTTAATCTGAATTGCTTTTTTGTTCTTCTTTCCCCCACTTCGGACCTGCAGTCAAATTGATGTCTCTGGGAGCCGGAAGGCTGTTGTTATCCATGTCCCCTACAGACTGAGGAAAGCTTTTCGCAAAGTTCATGTCAGACTTGTGAGAGAGCTTGAGAAAAAATTTAGTGGAAAGGTATTTAGAATCCCTCTTTTTTTCAAGTTATGAAAGAACTTATTCTGCTTCTAAGACAGAAACATAAGCTGAATAACAACTAGTGCCTCAACCTTGTCTGTCACGGAGGATTATATAAAATGATTCCGAATGACTTTGTTGATATTGTGAAATTAGTTCAGTGGCTGGTTCTATGTTTATGATCATTAGAAGCCATACTCCTCTATGCTGTTATTTTTATTTTTTTATTCTGATAAAGTATTATTGCCTTGTACTATGAATCTTTGTTAACATTGACAATCATGGTAAAGTTAGACAGAGGAAGAAATTATCTTGTTGTTTCCTACGCTTCCCCACACCACCCACCCCCCCGGCGGTTAGATTTTTCTACAATTATACTGTCCAATTCACCCTGTAATTTCCCCTTAGGATGTGATCCTGATTGCAACTCGGAGGACAGTGAGGCCCCCAAAGAAAGGTTCTGCTGCCCAGCGCCCCCGGAGCCGAACACTTACTGCTGTGCATGAGGCCATGTTGGAGGATGTTGTTGTACCTGCTGAGATTGTTGGGAAGCGTGTTAGATACCGTATTGATGGGTCCAAGATAATGAAGGTAATTCATGTTAGCAAACGGTGAAAATCATATCTCATGTGCGTTTTTTTCTTTTTTATTTGTAATGTGGATTGGAAAGTGTATCCATTTTCTATTTTTTTTTTCCTTATATTTATTTTTGTTCTATTTCTACATTTAGATTTCCTTCAAAACATTGTAGGACATAATATAGTTTGAGAGTATAAAGAGGAGAGCCTATGCACTATCAATTCTTTTTAAAATTTATTATTTAACAATCAGTGATTGGGTATCACTAGGGGTGTCGAACGGGCGGGTTGGGTCGGATTTGATCCGGGTCGGAAATGGGTTGTAACCTATATTCAGCTTGTTTGCACCGGGTCAAATATGGGTTGGGTCAAAATGAGGGGTCACCCGTGATGACCCAATAACCTGTTTTTTATTTTTTATGGAAGAAAAATCATTCTTACTCTTTTACCCTTTTTTTTCCCAGCTTACTCTTTTACTCTAATTCCATCTTTATTTACTAAAAAATTTGAAAAAAAAAACAATTTTAATTGCTTTTCAAAATAGGTTAAATGTAAGTGATAGGTTGACAAAACTCACATGATCGATATATAAATTTTACAATCTTATTAAATTTTATACTATTTTATAAAATTTTAACTTTCAATTTCTGTGAATCTAAGTTAATATTGGGTTGGCCTGTTTACACAACCCGATCCCCCTTGAACCTTTAATATAATTTAATTAACTAAACCCTCTTATCATTTACAAAGATTTAATTATTCCCAAATCAAGTAAATTATGTAGCAAAATATAAGTTTCAACCTTCAAATCCCATGAATCCAAGCTAGAATGCCGTGGCCAGTTTACAAGGCCTGATCCTGTAATGTGACCCGATCCATTTACAAAGATCCGAACCATTCACACAGAGAGATTACAAGCTATGTATTCTGCATAGCAGGTGCTTAAAAGGATATAGAATCCTTAGGTTGAACATTATAAAATCCAAACCTGGGTAATCAGGTTAGCCAATCTTCTCTCTATATGTATATGCACTGAATAGTGGGTTAGTTCACCCGTTCTGCATTCTCCTTTCTTTTTTTTTTGAATGGATATGTATTTTGTTTTCGTTGCTAGATAAATTAGTAGGCAGGAGAATTATTGAACTGTCCAGTGCGCCTTGAATCATGTTCATTTGGAAAGTATATATTCTTAGTAGTTACAAAAGTTCATTGATTATAATCCTTAATTATATGGTTGACCGACGATCTTGATTGGAACTGATAAAGAGATTACAAGCTATGTATTCTGCATAGCAGGTGCTTAAAAGGATATAGAATCCTTAGGTTGAACATTATAAAATCCAAACCTGGGTAATCAGTTTAGCCAATCTTCTCTCTATATGTATATGCATTGAATAGTGGGTTAGTTCACCCGTTCTGCATTCTCCTTTTTTTTTTTTTTTGAATGGATTTGTATTTTGTTTTCGTTGCTAGATAAATTAGTAGGCAGAAGAATTATTGAACTGTCCAGTGCGCCTTGAATCATGTTCATTTGGAAAGTATATGTTCTTAGTAGTTACAAAAATTCATTGATTATAATTTTCAATTATATGGTTGACTGACGATCTTGATTGGAACTGATAAGAATGTTGAGACAGGGTGAGGCAGTATCAAATTTTCCTTAGCTAGATAACTAGAGAGAGAGGGGGTGAGGCAGTATGAAATCCTAGAGTGTCTTTGGAAAATATATATTCTTAGTGTTTTTTTTTCCTTTCCGGAAGTTGAATGTATATTGTATGAAATTTTCCTTGCATAGGATAGTTGTACGAGTCTCTTGTATAATGCGTGAAATTTGGTTGACCCATATCCATTAATAAGTGTGTGGGTTGACGGGTTATGAACCATTTTGCCACCCCTAGGTATCACAATCGGCTTGATCATTGATGTTGGTAACTCATAAGTGACCGAAGCTGGTAAATGGTGGTTGTAACTATAATGGTCCTATGGTAGTTAAGTTCTTCCTTGTCGGGTAAGTTCTTACCCACACAAAAGGTGTAGTAATCTTGGGCAGTCTTAATGTGGCACTATGAATTTTCAACCATGAATTGACTTCCAGTACGATAAGGAGCTCATATGTTTTTTTATTAATTGTTTTTAAAACAACTTGACTTCCAGTACGATAAGGAGCTCATATTTTTTTTATTAATTGTTTTTAAAACAACTTGCCATGGTTGAAGTGCTCGCATAATTAACAGACTTTTCTTGTTGGCAGATTTTCCTCGATCCCAAGGAAAGGAACAACACTGAGTACAAACTCGAGACCTTTGCTGCAGTTTACAGGAAGCTATCAGGCAAAGATGTTGTGTTTGAATACCCACAAACGGAGGCTTAGAAATACCAGTTGTTACAGCCTTGCTCTTCCGGAAGTATCTTAAGTTTGTTGGTTTATTTAAAGTTTTGACATTGAGGATTTTGTTTGTAAGGCAGAAAACATGTGAAGCTTATTTTTTCTTAGCATATTATGGAATTTTAATTAATGGAATATGTTCTGTTATGGGGGTATTTCTATTAGGTGTGGTGCGGTGCCTGGTAGTAGGAGATATGGCTTATAATAGAAAAGATTGGAATAAGAGAACGGCTGGAATAAGATTATTCATGTGGCCGGCCTCCTCCTTTACATGATAAGGGCAAGGATGATAATGATGATTTGCATTTTATCATTTTGGAGCCATAAAATTGTAGCAGGTCTTGAAATGCTTGTTAAATGGTGTCCTTTTTCTTGTTGAAAAAGCCAATTCGGTGATCATGCTATTTATTAATTTTGGACTGTAGAGGGTAGAATATTTTCTCCATTGTGCCCAGGGCCCCTAGTGGATTGAGTCCTCCCCCCTTCTCCAAACAAAGTTTTGTACTCCTCTTTGCCCTTGTTATTACTTTCTTTCCTTCAGTCTCGTGTCTTTCAGCATAATTTGTCATTTGAGACTGATTTTATTAGTGTTCTGAGTCATTTTGGTTTATTGTAATCTTATCCTACTTTGATAGCTTATGAACAAATATTCCATCTGTATTCAAATTAAATCCAAAGAAATGGAGATATGAAAGTATAGCCAGTGTTATATTGTTAATGCACTCTTATTTCACAGTTTGTGTAATTATAATTATGATTATAAATACAAATTTTGATTAAATAAATATATGAAGGAGAAGGTAAATGTAAACATTGGAAAGAAAGGGTGACGTATAACATTCAGAAATAAAGGATACCCTACCCAACCTACCTCGCATACCTTTCTGGGGGTATGGGCTACATTTGATTCTTAATGGACATAAAATAGAATATAGAGATGCTGTAAGAAGGAAGTTGCCACAATATTCCAAACACAAAAGGGTAGAAAATCAAAACTTAAAAACATTTCATTTACTCCCTAAATGTGATCCTCATACATGCAATGAAATCCGAATAAATCAATTTCAAATGCAGACCAAAATGATTTCATCCTCCTTGCACCCCTGCCCCCAATTGGAAAAGGGAAGGATGCAAACTCCACTGACAGATGGATGTAACTTAAAAGTTCCCCAAACAATTCTGCAGCTGCTGAACAATGCTTAAGTAGCAACTAGTCCATTTTAGAAATAACACGGCCGGCTAACAAGCCCCAGAAAGATGAGAAATATGAGAACACCGAACAATTAAACTAGTTGATGTAGTTGCATTTGGTCATTTATGACGATGCTTGTGAGAGTTTCAACCACGCTTCAAGGTTGAGTCACAAACTAGAGTGCGCTTGGAGTCCAAAAAGAGAATAGGATCGTTCAGCTTTGATACTAACTGCATGTAAACATGGTTATCACTGAAGTCATTAAAACGATTATACTTGAAAAAAACTACAAGGCTATATATAATAATTTGACTCATTTATAAACCCTGTCAAAAAAATGAAATGGAGATGATCCAATAATAAATTGACTCATTTCTAAATACTATTAAAACCAAATAGAAATGATTCACGAACTTGTAGCTCAAGTAGTATCCTCCTCATTCATCTATGTGATAAGTTGAGGATCCATGTCCCCATCAGGAAATAACAGGTGTTTGTTGAGTTGGGTGTGCGTTCTTCCGGGTAAAACAGAAAAACAGATAAAAAGAAAAACAAGTTGAAATGGTTCATATATTAAGGGGAATTTGTAATTTGAATTGAAACCAAAGAATTCCAACTAGTTCTGCATAGCAATTGAACCTAGTCCGTTGTGCATTTGATCACAATTGAGAGAAATCATTTGTGTCCCTTAAGTTTAGATAGGCCAGTTTCCACACCAATACACAATTTCACATCTCTATTATCTTTTGGGTGGTCAAATTGATGAACTCATTCAACACGAGTTACATGAGCAACTAAAAACATCCAAACCCTATGAATTATTTTTTTTCCATTGATACTGGTAAGCAAGCACTCACAATGTATAATTCTATTTTAATGGAGTTCTGTAATGCCCTTAAGTCACTCAAAAAGTTATTCTCAGATAAATATTAAAAAAATTGGATGATAGTAGACTTACTGAAAACAATGATCTAAGCAGAAGCACCTCAAGATAAGATCACAAGTCCAAGATACATGGCTCCACAAAGAAACAAGAAAGATATGAAACCCCTGCAAGTAAAGATAATAATTAGGCAGGGAACAGCGGAACTTAAATACTGAATCATTAGAATGCCTCGTGTTTATTAACAAAGGAGAAAAAAACCAAATAGAAAATTTCTACTTCTAAAGATCATCCATTAGTGCACTTCCTAATGATAAAAATTCTCACCAAATGACACCCCATCCAACACCATTACAAGGACATGGACAAACTTCAGCAAACTTCTCAGCATCACTGGAGTTAACTCTTCGGGATATCAGATCATCATAAATGTCTGCATCAATACATGCACATTACAATCACCTGTAATTCCGCAAATAGACAATTCAACTAACGCTTAAAGTATATGTGTGTCTCCAAGACATACCATATACTGAAAACAGACTATTCATCACACCTGCAGTTTGCCAAAACAGACATAAGCAACAACTTATTTATCCCTTACATTAAATAAAAAGGACATCATGATGCATACTATTTAACAGAGATCAAAGGAATAAACACAAACGCTTTACCAATAAATAAAATTATGTATCGAAGAATTCGAATATTAGTTGTTTCTTGAAGAACCCAAATTGCAGCAAGAAAGACAATAAATCCTGATGATTTGAAAAGCATATGTTAATATTATCCACATGTCATATTGCATTTATATACGTATTATAAAAACCAAGATCAAAACCAATTCTGAAAGATCATACCTATACATAGCCCCCGAAGCGTCCACTGTTTGAAAGATACATGATATCAGAGATAGGATTCTTAAGAGAGTAATCAATGCGAACATCCTAAAATAATTAAAAGATAATATGGAAGTCCCAAAGGGGGTATATGGAAGCTAGAATATAGCATTAAATCATTTCAAATGAGACCCTTTGTTTTCCTTAACACAATGCTAGATTGAGTCATTTCAAAACTTCATGAAAGCAGATTTGCCATATTTTATTATTCCTAACTAAATTATGTCGCCAAATGCCATGAAAATTAAAAATTAATCATTGCATATCAATAATGATTCCAAAAACCCATTGAACGCATTCACAAAAAAAAAAAAAAAAAAAACCAGAAGAAGTAACTACCAATGAGGTTCAAAAACTTACGTTTTTAGCTACGAAAAGTACAACAAGTAGTGCGACAGCAAAACATCCAGCAGCAATTCTTGCTGTGAGAAGATTTGTGGATGCAAGTATCAAAACCATCCCCCAAAATGATGAACCAAGATCTGGCATGCCACAAAGAAATAACTAGCATTGGTTCCAAAGATAAATTGTAAAATATCACCAGAAACAAACGTTATTGATTCCAAAGATCTTAAAATAAAAATAAAGTAGCTTAAGAAACATGTTGAATCATGTATGAGTCTACATGAATCTGGTAGACTGCTATCCACAATAAAGTATGCATTGGCATGTTTCACATCACATTTGTCACTAAGATAATGTTTATATTTTGGCAATCAAAAGAATATATATATTTATATATATTTATATATATATATATATATATATATATATATATATATATATATCAGGGAAGAGAGATCACTACATCCAGCTGGCAGGATGAACCAATATATGCCACCACGTGTTTGTGTTGAGCCACCTTCATCTGCGTGAACCTGGATGCCCTCCACCTGCATATCAAAGATATATCAGAAATAATCTAATTGAGAGCAACAAGAATATCAACACTGGTCTATAAGGAGACTTCAGAAAAACCATGAATGCTAAACCAGTATTTCCCATGGTTGGGGAATTTACAAGTCAAGACACAAAAAAGAAGAGATGGAGCTTCTTACATGACCACATGTAAGTTTGCAGGCAACAGCATGACTAGCTTCATGAAGAAATACAGTTACAAGCTTGAACGGCATCAGTAGTATTGTCCTCCATAACTACAATGGCAAAAAAGGGATTGACACTACCTTCCGGAAGAATTAAAAAAAAAAAAGAGAGAGGGATTGACGCTACAATTAAATTTAGTTGCAAACAAATTACCTTTAAGAATCCAACATTTGATGAATGAGAAGCTCAAACCATGATATCCATGCTCCAACTTTACTTTTGGAGGAACTGAATTTCAATTTAAGTTGTATTTCTAAAAACAATTCGGATACTTGATTTAACTGTTCGGTAAACTTTTTTACTTTAAAAAAAATATATATATATATATATCTATTCTGTAAACTTTCTTAAACTGTTCCTCTTCTTAAGAGTTGATGATAGGTCCATACTTTAAAGTTTAAAATGTTAAATCCTAACATAATCAAAACTGAAGAATGTCTCACTTATAAACCCAGTCAATTGTGAAGTGTTTACATTCGAATTTATCAAAACATTGGGCTGCAAAGAGTGGAGGAAGACAATTATGACAAAAAAATGAAATCTAGCTAAACTAGAGCTAAAAAAAATCTTTAAAATTCTACAATTCTAAAGTTTCCTTTCACAGCATTTTGATATAGATTTCATAATAGTTAGTGCCCATCTATTTTCATCAAAAATTGCAGAGCCCCTATAAACACAACTAACCTTATAGGCATCCATTTACAACAGAAACATAAAATTTGTTGACACACAAGCATACACATGAACAAAGAAAAATTATTATGATCAGCCCCAATATTTAGTAAAATGGTGCATCTCTCAATTTGAAAAACAACAATGAACCCATATGTCCAACTTCCACTTTCAGATCCCTTGATTCTATGGGAGTTTCACATTAATCAAATGTAATTTGTGTTAAATAAGAACCAAACCATGACATATATAGAGAGAGAGAGGGGGGCAATGAAAGCAAGTGAAGTAGTGATACCGCAAGGATGACGACAGTACAGACAGAGATAGTAACGAGAAACACGACTTGCTCGTGGTTGCAACACTTCTTCAGTTCCCAATTCGGCATTTCTGGTTCAACCCCACACTACGCAGAAGTTGATACTTAGGATCTAGAGAGAGAAAAGAAAGTGATTTAGAGAGAGAGAGAGAGAGGAGAAAATTTTCTCTCTCCTCCTCTCCCCTCAAAGAAGGGTGGTGGCTGGGAGACGGAGGTGGGAAGCGCCAAAGAGGTTTTTTTTTTTTATTTTTTTTTTTTTTATTACAGAGTACTCTAGAGGTCTATTGTGTATTGACCACTGAGGACCAACGCATTTGGCTAAATTACACGGACTGAAACTGATTTTACTTTTGCTTTACTTGCTCTAACATATTCTCACAATCCATTTGTTTTTAAAATGAAGTTTAATATTTTTAATTCAATTGATTAATTAAAATTGAGAATAGTGCGGGAATTCAAAATTGGAATTAAAAATGATTGGGGAATTCGAAATTTATTTCATTAAATTTTGGATTATGGCTTCTCATTTCCACATAATCCCAACCAATAAATGAATGCCAACATAAATACTAGAAATTAAATAAATTAACGCCTACATACACAATTCGTATGTGACCATCAAATAAAATTGAATAATTTGTCTTCAGTTCTCTCTCTATATGAAACAAGGGATGTTTATGCCACGGTGAAGAGCACAATTAGGACAGGGTTGTCAATAAAAAGCATGCATATAATATATTATACTGAAATCAAAACATGCAATTTTCTGGAATTGGTGCCTTGATCATTTAGCAATACTGCATTTTTAAAATGCATTATCCAGTATAACTTTTTTTACTGGAGTTTTGGGGAAAGAAAACTCAGAAACAGACTTAACTTTTGGTACTAGTTGTAAGATTTTTTACTTTGCCTATATGTGATATTGATTTTCTTAACTTTCACATATATATATATATATTAATTTACTTTCATTCTAATATTTATACTTGTGTCCTCGCCCATACGTCCTGTTGATTTTCTTCACTGACCCAAATCACGCGCACGCGCATATAAAAAATAGATTTTTTGAATGTTGCCCAACAAAAATATTGGGCTGGCTGCATGTGATTTAAGTATCCCATTGTTTCCCACAAAATTTAATGATCTAATTAAGACGTAACACTTGTTTGCCACTGAATGAACAAACTTGTACCTTCAACGTATTCCCAAGTCTCTCTCTCTCTCTCTCTCTCTCTATATATATATATATATATATATATTTACATCCAAGTCAGTGAGCCAACAATCAAAATAATACACATCAATATAGTAATACTGCATTTTGACAAGCAGTTCGAAAGCAATAGAATCACTACTTTCACAAATAGTTGGCGCAAAAGTCGCGACCCATTTGAAAGCAAACTTTGACAAAACTGTTCAAGTCTTTAAGAGAGTACCTAGACAACTAACCACCTTAACAACCATCATTTATTAGTCCACAAAGTCAGGATTACACAACCTTACTCTATTATTTATTATGAAACAATAAAATGTATTAAATTGAGTAACTTAAAAATATATACTTACATTGTTTTTCCATCAAAATTTACAAAATGACTTTATTAAAAGCTATTAATTATAATGTTATCATGTAGTATTAGAGGTCAACTATTTAATTTTCAATTATTGTTGGTCAGAAAAATACATGTGACAATATCAAGCAACTCTAAGTAAGATATCTGGCTATATAGGAATTAATGGCACCATAGGATTAAATGTTCGGTAATGTAAAAGACAACATCTAAAATCTAAAAGCCTCAAAGGAACTGGCCACTATGTTCTCTCTTCCAATCATGTTATAAAAACAAAAAGAATGCACCTTATTATACTGACATAGACATTAAAAAGGGGGGAAAAAAAATTACAGAAGATTAATGAAGCACATAAAGCTTTACAGAACATAAATGGAGGTCATCTACCTTCATCAATAGAAGAATAAGAGATGGAATTTCTAGAATACTCCTCGACAAAACTATTACCAGCAGAAGCCTTGCTAACCCCAGTGAAGGTGCTACTAGGATTAGGATTAGGATTAGTATTAGTGAGAGCAGAAGTGGAGGTAGTGGTCCAACGACCTACGCGGCCTTGAATTCCAGGTTTTCCAGGTCTGGGTAAAGTGAATGAATCGCTTGATAGCATGAGATGAACAGAATTCATATCAGGCCTATCTCCGATGCTTGCTTGGCAACATAACAACCCCAGCTGAATGCACATTGCTGCCTCATCAGGTACACATTTGGCAAGACCTGGGTCAACTAATTCCAACGACTTTCCTGCTTGAAGTAGCATCCATGCCTGGAGATAAAAGGAGTGAAACTAGAGGATTAACTTAAATATCTATCATCTTTCAAGTCATCAAAATTTGCAAACAAAATTTGCTTGTAGATAGATATTGTTTATTTAAATATAATTGCAAAAATAATCCTACATTTGTCATTCTTTTGTCACATCTCAGCTGGGCATCTCAAAATTAGGGCTTTCTGTACAAGTCTTGTAAATAAGTTGACCTCATGGATGAATGATAGTGGGAACATTCGTCTCGAAATGGGATCGTTTGAAAACTATGTAAGGAACTTGGGACATCTGAGACATCCCAAAATAATTCTAAAGCCACACAAATGATTGGATGATCCTTGTCATTTGATAAACAAGAAACAAGTTTTATTTTGATTTATTTTTTAATGTTGCAACCTCAGTTTAGATATTTAATAAACCTTAACATTTGATAATAGAAGAGTAAGGAAAAATTGAATCTGATAGCAAAGAAGGATTTCTTATTTCTGAGATGAGATAGATAAAAACCCTTCTTTTTCACCACATCCCATTGAATTTAAATTCTAATCGACTATGTCCTTCAAAACAAAACTATCATCATACCTTACACTATTATATAACATGTGATGTATTTCTATGTGTTGGATGTGTTTATATATAAACTTTTTGACACCACTTCATGCCAAGTCCCCATGTCACGTGATTTGAGATTCAGGGAGGGGAGGTCGAGACTTTGATACACAGCTAGACCAAAACACGTATTCAAGTCAATGTAACATAGACTCCCACAGGAAAAAAGGAGGATTCCTTGGATCTTTCCACGAGTGCTAATTCTTATTTATTTCTACCTCTAAAAAGAACTTAATCTTTAGAAGTAATTACAGTAATAAGTTAATTCAATTTCTAAGATTGCATCAGAAGTTCCTCAAAATAAACTTACATAACTTAAGAGGTCTGCCTTTTCTGCACCAAGCTGCCCATCATGATTCTTTCTTCCACTCACAATCTCCAAAACCAGAACTCCAAAACTGAACACATCTGTCTTCACCGACAAATATCCACGCAGTGCATACTCAGGAGCCATATAACCACTGCAATTAAAAAAGTTGTTTATTATACTGAGCTCTTCGTGGAAGTTCTGACATGGAGACAAGTAAAAGAAAAATACTAATGTCTCAACATGCGATCAAGATGACTGCTAGTCTTAGGACAATTAGCTGAAATTAAGACAAAAATAGGTGAAGTCAGAGAACTACTCACTGAGTACCAGAAATCCTAAATGTATTTACATGGGTGTCTTCCCCAGGGAAAAGCCTGGCCAAGCCAAAATCTGAGATTTTAGGATTTAACTCCTCATCCAGCAAAATATTACTAGCTTTAATGTCTCTATGAATAATTCTTTCAGGAGCTTCTTCGTGTAGGTAGAGAAGACCTCTTGCAACACCTGTAATTATACGATATCGTTTTGACCAATCCAAGGATGGAGACTTCTTTTTATCTGAAAAGTTTGAAGTCATCAACTTTCACTTCAATCCAAATAACGATGCATGAATGAATTCTAAGTTGAAGAGTGTATTCTACCAAAGAGGAAGTAGTCAAGGCTCTTGTTTGGCAGATACTCATAGACAAGCATCTTCTCAGGTCCTTCTGCACAACACCCCAACAATGTCACCAAGTTTTTGTGCTGAATTTTCAGTAACAGTTTCACCTCGTTAATGAATTCTTTGAGTCCCTGTCTTGAATTCAGTGAAAGCTTCTTCACAGCCACTACTTGACCAGTTGGTAGCAATCCCTTTAAGAAAATATACATTCAAATACAGATACAATCAGATAGGCATATCGAATTCCAATTTGATAGCCCTGTACAATGTCACTTAATTTGCATTAGAATCTCAACTGCTGGCTTGACATCTTATAATGATTTTGAAGTATAATATACATGATAAAGCATTGAGGAGCCAAATGGTCTTGAGGACATTCTGTAATATAAACGAAGGAAGTGCAGCCCAACAATGAGAAACGTTGGCACACACCTAAGAAACATAGACACAGAGTCACGGACACGATACAATACGGATACGCAGACATGTCAAATTCTTAAAAAGTAGGACACGGACACGGCGTGGATATGGCTAATATAAATATAAATTTTCATTGATATATCTATTAGGTATTGTAATTTATATACTAAAGTTACATAAGTTAGAAGGTGAAGCTATTTGAATATCAAAAAGAATATATTATATTATATATAATATTACTATCCTATATTGTTATTGCAGTTATGTTTTCTTCATATTACATACCATGACATATGTTTAATGTCAAATTTTTTTCAAAGAAAAAGAGGTTCGATACCTTGATATATGTTCATAATGTTGTTTTTAGGATTGTCATATGTTTGCTTTATATAAGATAGAGAGTGGGATATGTTGTCAACTGTCCCAAATGTGTCGACCAAGTGTACAAGATGTGTTGGCCAAGTGTCCAAGATGCATGGACAAAGTGTCCGTAATAATAAAAATTATTTTTAAAATATGGACACGGGAATAAAGTGTCGAAGACGTATCCAGAAGTGTCCATGAAGTGTCTGTGTACATTGGTGTCCGACACAAACATGACACCTCATAGAGGTGTTTGTGCTTCTTAGCCACACTTTTTTTTTTTTTTTTCCAATCTTGCATTTCCTTTTTGCATTTATGCAGAAGATTGGCAATACAGGAGCTACTGACGCTAATAAAGCTCTTGAATCACTGTCTATCAATCTCTCCAACTTTAACCAGCTCCTGCATACCTCATTCTAGTTGTGAAGGAATGTAGGCACTATTTCCTACAAAAAAATGAGCCTCAAACCTTTAACCAAAGAGCTGATGGGAGCAGAGTGTTGGGCTTAAAAAATAAACGAGAACATCTTCATATAGCGGAAATGAGAATGCTAAGATGGATAGTTGTAGAAACTAGAAGAGATAGGGTCACAAATAAATGTGTAAGAGAAAAATTAGGTATAGCACCCATTAACGAGAAAATACGATAGAGTAAACTTAGATGGTTTGGGCACATACACTGGAGACCTATAGATGCACCGATGAGAAGAAGTTTAATTTCCATAAAAGGTAAGAGAGGGAGAGGGAGACCAAAAATAATATGGGATGAAGTTATTAAAAATGCCTTTAAAAAGTTAAAAAATAGTAGGTGGTATGCCAGTTAATAGAAATGAATGGAGATATAGAATTCATTTGGGGGATCCCATTCATATGGGAATAAGGGGAGGATGATGATGATGAGCTGTCCCTACGGCTGAAAATGCCAATTTCCAAGAATCCCTATTTCAGAAAAACCCTCCACATAGTGTTTCATTGTGAGCCACTGTGGATATATTTACCAACTCTGTCTTTAGACAAATTTTGCCTAGTAGGTGTTGAATGGTGAATGACGATCGTCTCCTAATATACAACGATCTTCGTTTCAATGGTAACAACACTTCAAATCAGAGGAAACAACAAACCAAACTTTGTGTTTGCTCTCTCAGAAAACTCAAACACTATAATGCACCAATTGAATGAAAATGACAAAGCATTCAGGGGGTGCTTATAGGCTGCTTGGTACTTGTTCGGGATGGGCATGGCATCGGTTCGGTAAACTCAAATCGCTATTGTACTATTTCCGTTGCTCCGAATTACACCCTATCCTAAACAAAAATATTTTGTCCAAACAGAATATATGCTTGATAAGCCCAAGCCCAAGACCGGACCAGGTCGGGCAGTGCACCTGATATGGGTACCTGGGGTGGCCCTTGGAACACAAATCCAAATACAACCTTGACACTTATAAGGCCTTCCAATGTGGGATAACCATTTTCACCACTTTTAACCATAATCATAAGGGTACTTTGGATCCAATTTATCATTTACTAGGAAATAGTTTTGAGCAAGTAAATATACAAAGTTCATCTCCTCTGGGAGAACTACGTGTTCTAATATGGTTCTGCCTTAACTGCATTGTGAGACCCACTCTAGTTTTGACCCAATGTAGCTTGTTCAACACTAATTTTCCAACATTGTCATCATGACAAGTATAAGTAGAGCAAAAAGTAAAATGGTAGAAAATATTTTCCAAAACAAAATACTAAACCTGATGGCCAAACAAAACGAAATGTGAGCAATAGATGGTCAAGAACGTATCGTCGAGGAATCCACCAGTCTGTTAGGAATTATGTTTCAAATTCCCATTATATTATTAGTTTCTATTACTATTTTAGAGTGTATTTTTTATGGTAATTTCTTATAGAGACGTGAATTGGGCTCTAAGAAATTGTAATCTCTGTCCACAAAGGAATTGGGTATGTGACTCTATAAATAGACACTTGGGCTATTGTTGAGAATTATGAGTTGAGAGAAATGTAGCCTCATGAGGGAGTAGGGGTGAGTTATGGGTTTGGCAAAGTGAACACTGATGGCAAGAGAGATAGGGAGTCTCGTGGAGTACAAGGAGAATTCGGTCAAGAGCTTGTGTGCATGGTCCGGTGTTGAAATTCTCTACTATTGTAATATCTCTATAAATATAGCGATTCTCTTCTCATCCGTGGATGTAACCCTAATTCTGATTTTGGTGAACCACGTATATATCCCATGTGTTATGGTTTGAATTGTTGTTTCCTTTCTTTCTTTTGCTTCCGCTTACCCAATACAGTCTTAGTGGAGCATGGAACTGACTGTCGAGACATTTGAAACCTTAACTTACTTATAAATCTAAGAAGAATAATATCGATGGTCATGAACGCAATTCAATATAATAGTTCTACATATACCAAATCACGGAGCAAACCAGTTCATTCAGTAATTACAACAACCTACAAAGGCTAATTTAGGCAGTTTCTCATTTCAACCAAACCCTAAAACCGAATAATAAAAAAAACAAATAACTTGACCGTCTAAAGAAAAAATGAATCATTTTCATTTTTGCCAAACATTGACCCTAACGAAATACCGAATTACGAGACGTACCTTGTAGACAGGACCGAACCCTCCGTGGCCGAGCTGATTGGTGTCCGAAAAAAAATTGGTTGCGATCTGCAGAGACAGCAGCTGGAAAAACAAGCCGGAAGACTCTATGGCGTCGTCCGGCTCTTCTCCTCCGCCGCTGACGGCGGATTTGTCGCCTCTGAGTTTTCTCGACAAACAATCGGAGAAACTGGAGAAAAACCCCATGAAGGCATCAAACACGGCGTACGATCGTTAGAAATAGAGAAGACCTTGTATATCTATCTGCTGAACTTTTAGACGTTGAGGTGAGTTGTTGGGAGTTTGTTAAAGTGAGTCAACGAACTAATTTCTTTTTAAAACTTAAATTTGGACCCTCCACCTTTCTCACCGGATTTCGTTTTCGAGTTACTTTAAATGTTATAGTAAAATATAAAGAGTCCCGAGTGTTAAAAATTAAATTATGATTTTTTTGTAAATGAGTATTTTACTTTTTCTCATTAAATTTAGTGGTTTTTATTAAAAAAATTATTTAATTTTTTTGTCTAAATATTAATTATACTCATTTATCTTAATTTTATTATTAGTATCAATTTATCATCCAAATGAAAAAAAGTAATATATAACTACTATTTTCTAAAATAATTAACTTATTATTAAAAATTTATTATTTATAATAAAACTTATTATACTTACTTTAAAAAATTTTATCATAGAAAAACACCTTTTTTTATACAATATATTCCTGAAAAAAATAATAAATTACTTAAATAAAAAAATACCTTTTTATGTAATTTATTCATAAAAATTAAGAAATTAATTACAGTACAAATTTTTTTTAAAAAATTACTTAAATTTTTTATTTAACAATTAATTTTAAAAATGAAAAGTAAATTTATGCAAATTTAATGAAAAATATGTTATCAAATCAAATTAGTATAATATTTTTTATAATTTCTTTTAATAAAAAAATAAATTAATTGTAATCTATATGTTCATTTAATGAAATATAATATGGCATTGTGGCATTTTGCAACAAAATGATATTATGTAATAGATGTCTCGATAATCGAGTAAGTTAGTACTTTCGGTGAACGTCAAAGTGCCGTTTCGACTCTATGCATCTACTAATCAAACTTCTAACATACATGTAAACTAAATTACCCTCAGGAAATTCTCATTATATGACAAAGGAAGAAGCCAGAAATCTCCCTCATTTCTTCGCTTCCTTCCCTCTTTAAACCTTCTACACCAACAAAATCAAATCTTCCTCTGGCCACCACCATCATCTCTTCCGAAGCACCACCACCACCATCTTCTCTGGACATCAGCCGTTTTACGTGTGATTACACGCCAGACCTGCGCCACTTCCACGCCAACAACCTTTATCCCCTTCATTATCACTCCGTGAGTGAATCTTTGGTTGCTTAACGACCGAAAATCATCCAGAAAGCTAAACCAACGCCGACATTCTCTCCTACAGCAACAACAACGTCTCCTATTCCCACCAAGAACAACACCGATGTTTGATTTGCCTCCCTTTTTGCCCAAAATTTCTTTGAAAATCTTCAGGAATCAAGCTTTCTACAGAATATTACAAAATGCAAATCTTCGTTTTCTCAACGATTCTACTCGTTGCCGCAGTCGTCGCCTTAAATTCTAGTCGCTCGAGTGAAAACCCAATTTTGATGTTGTGGATGTATATTAGGCCACATCACCAAGGGATCAAATCAAGCTAACCCCACATCAATACCAGCTTCGAGCAAGAACACAAAATGACCAACACTTGGTATCAGAAGCCTTTCTCAGCAAAAGCAATTGTCAATCGATGGGCCTTGAACCTCGATCCGACCAAACCACAAACTGTCGATCGATGGGCCTCGAACCTCAATCCGACCAAGCTACTAATCGTCAATCAACAGGCCTTGAACCTTGATCCGACCAAGACATGAACTATCGATCGACGGGCCTTGAACCTCAATCGATAGGCCTTGAACATCAATTTCACATTCTCCCAAGCAAAATAAACAACGAAGAGTAATGATAAGACTCTTCGAGGCCAGTGGGAATGCATAAGGGACTTTGGAATAGAGGATTGAAAATCAGCTGAGTCTTGCTAAGGTAAAACCCAATTTGAGGATAAGAGCGAAAGACAGGTTGGAGTAAGTACAGCTACCTTTACAGCTAGCCCCATTTAGGTCATTCAAGGAAAACGTACACTTGACAGCAGAACTGAAAAGATAAAGATTAGGGCAACATAACCCATAAAGGGACACGAGGCCTTTATCCATTTCGATTCCAGTGGCACCACCGTCACTGGTTCACCGGGTTTGGTCAGTTCCTTTCGCTTTGTCATCCTCGCAAGGCAAACTAGCACTGATACCAACAGCATGAACAACAACAACACTCCGATCTATCTGTTTGCACTCACTGATCTATTCTTTTGATTTCTGTTTAGCAATGACGTTTTCTCTTTTCCCCCACAGCCCTCTGTCTTACCCTTTTATAAACATAGTTTTCCCCTCTTTTCTTTTTAAATTGGAGAAAAAAAACACCAAAAAGTCATAACCCAATAAAGGAGACGTGACCCAGCCAAAGGGTCATACCCATTCAATTACTACACTGACAAGAGTTATAAGGCTACGTTTCCCAAGGCCAGTTACACCCGTCTCTTTGTACGCGTCCCATTTTTTTCCATTTCTTTATTACAAAATATTAAAGCAAAAAACGACACGTGCAGGGGGACTAAATGTGGATGTAGATTAGGCCACATCACCAAGGAGAAATCATGCTAACCCCACATCAATACCAGCTTCGAGCAAGAAGATAAAATGACCCAAGTAGATGACGGGAGCCTATCTCAGCAAAAACAACTGTCGATTGATAGGCCTCGAACCTCAATCCCACCAAGCCACAAATGGTCGATCGACTGGCCTTGAATCTCGATCTGACCAAGCCACTAATCATCGATCGACGGGCTTTGACCCTCATCCAACCAAGCCACAAATTGTCGATCGACGAGCATTGAACCTTGATCCGACTAAGCCACTAATTTTCGATCGATAGGCCTTGAACCTCGATCTGACCAAGCCACGAAGTGTCAATCGACAAGCCTTGAACCTCAATCCGATCAAGCCACGAACTGTCGATCGACGGGCCTTGAACCTTAATCCGACCAAGTCACGAATTGTTGATCGACGGGCCTTGAACATCGATCTCACATTCTCCCAAGCAAAATGCATAACGAAGAGTAATGGTAGGACTATTCGAGGAATGCACAAGGGACTTTAGAATGGAGGATGGAAAATTAGCTAAGTCTTGCTAAGGCAAGACCCAATTTGAGGATAAGAGTGAAAGACAGGCTGGAGTAAATACAACTACCTTTGCAGCTAGCCCCATTTGGGTCATTCAGGGAAAAGCGTACACTTGGCAGCAGAATCGCAAAAGATAGGGATTAGGGCAACATAACCCATAAAAGGACATGGGCCCTGACTCATCTAGATCCGGAAGCCTAACAAATACCACCTAAATGACCTAAGGATTATAAAAGAGGTGGCAAAGGTAAGAGAGAGACAAAAATTTAGAGGCTCAAACTACATACTCCAGACTTTGTCTTCTTTACCATCACTCCAGTCCTCATATTGGGCTGGTTTTCTCTCCCTCAATCCACTCCTATATATTCCTCATATTGTTTTAGTGATATATCCCAGATATTTTGACCTCTCAGTGATCATCGAAAAACAGGTACATATAGATTTCTTCATTGCGGGCTGAATCGCGACAATGCTCTCGCGGGTTGTGTCATGATCGGCTAAGTCGCGATCAGAGCTTGTAATAGTCGTCGTCGTCGAAACATTTGTGGGTTATCGTTCTTATGTGTGGTGCTTGTAATAGTTGAAAAGATTTGTGGGTTGATGGTCAGGCGGCAGCGGTGGTAAACGATTGTCGTTTTGTTCAGTCCATTTAAGCCGCGCTCAGCTGCTATCTTTCTTCATCGCGAGTTTATCGTCGCAAATAAGTCATTCATCTTTGCCGAGCAATTCATTGCTGTCCTTCTTTGTCTTCACTGTGAGAAGGTTAGAGAAAGAAAAAATCCTCTCCCCTTGTGGTCGTTGGCTGATTCAAACTTATTTTTTTTTAACATTTTATTGACACATACTTGAGGTGTGGCGCTGGTTGAGGTGTGGGTGGATGAGTTGTGGCGGTGGTGGGGATGGTTTGCCGGAATGTTTGGTCAGAGAAGAAGAGTTTCGCCGTGGGTGGTGGTGGCCGGTTAAGGTGTGACAGTTGTGTATGAAAGCGAAACAAGGATAGTTTAGTAAATTTTATAAAGTATTTAAGGGTAATTTGTTTTCAAATAGTAAAAATTAACAAATTAATAATTATTTTTGGCTAAAATATTTTTTGAGAAGTTTATTTTTTATTGTTTATATTGTTAGAGCAACTCCAATGGTATGCTATATAGGCTGCCATTTTCAAAATATAGTAGATGGACTTAAAATGGGCTCTCCAATGGCCTATCAATTGGGCTGCCAATTTTTAACTTTGCTAAATCTGATGCTAAGTGTGGCACAACAAATAGCTACTGCTATTTCAGAAATAGAAGAGAATTTATATTATGAAAATGAGAAGAAACATTTTCTTTGAATCACCGTTGGGCGATCTTGGAACATGCCATTAAGTGGGAAGATTGGGTATCCTCCAAAAAGTCAAAGACTTCTGCAATGACCCCATATTCCTCTTCTGCATCCCAAATTCCTAAGAAGTCCATTTCTCTCGATTCCAATCAAGATCGAATCGAAAAATCTATTGACTCCCCAAGAACTAAAAGCCCTAGTGGAAGGAAAGCTGCAAAAGAAGCACGTAGGAAAAGTAAGATAGCAAATACTTCAGACACTCATTTTTTTGATTTGATGAAAAAAATTAACGAAAATACAACTGAGAGTATAATGAAAAAGTTCGAAATAGAAGAAAGAAAAGTTAAAATAATGGAGCAAATGAATTAAAGAGAGCAAGAAGAGAAAAAAGCCAAGGAAAAAGAGAGAGATGATAAGATTATGATGATCGACCTTTCCAACATGGACCCTCAAGTGAAAGTTTATTACCAGCTGCGCAAGGATGAGATTCTTGCCAAACTACAAGCACGCTCAACAAGCTTTGATTATTATGTTCTTCTTCCCCCATCTCCACCATGAAGGACACGTGAAGTTGAGACTGTTGAAGCCCTTGCTCTTCGAGAAGCTATTAATCTTGTATCTGGTTGGGTTTATATGGAGGTAGATTTTGAGGGGGACTATAAATCAGTGATGCAGTTGATCCCCAACTCTGATTATGCTGCTA